AACATAACTAATTCACAATGATCAAGTATGGTTTTCAAAAGAAACCTAACTAATTCACAATGATCAAGTATAGTTTTCAAACAAAACATAACTAATTCACAATGATCAAGTATAGTTTTCAAACAAAACATAACTAATTCACAATGATCAAGTATGGTTTTCAAAAGAATCCTAACTAATTCACAATGATCAAGTATAGTTTTCAAACAAAACATAACTAATTCACAATGATCAAGTATGGTTTTCAAAAGAATCCTAACTAATTCACAATGATCAAGTATAGTTTTCAAACAAAACATAACTAATTCACAATGATCAAGTATGGTTTTCAAAAGAATCCTAACTAATTCACAATGATCAAGTATGGTTTCCAAGAGGAACCTAACTAACACACAATGATCAAGTATAGTTTTCAAACAAAACTTAAATAATTCACAATGATCAAGTATAGTTTTCAAACAAAACATAACTAATTCACAATGATCAAGTATGGTTTTCAAAAGAAACCTAACTAATTCACAATGATCAAGTATAGTTTTCAAACAAAACATAACTAATTCACAATGATCAAGTATGGTTTTCAAAAGAAACCTAACTAATTCACAATGATCAAGTATGGTTTCCAAGAGGAACCTAACTAAACACAATGATCAAGTATAGTTTTCAAACAAAACATAACTAATTCACAATGATCAAGTATGGTTTTCAAAAGAAACCTAACTAATTCACAATGATCAAGTATAGTTTTCAAACAAAACATAACTAATTCACAATGATCAAGTATAGTTTTCAAACAAAACATAACTAATTCACAATGATCAAGTATGGTTTTCAAAAGAAACCTAACTAATTCACAATGATCAAGTATAGTTTTCAAACAAAACATAACTAATTCACAATGATCAAGTATGGTTTTCAAAAGAATCCTAACTAATTCACAATGATCAAGTATGGTTTCCAAGAGGAACCTAACTAACACACAATGATCAAGTATAGTTTTCAAAAGAAGAATAACTAACACACAATGATCAAGTATAGTTTTCAAACAAAACCTTACTAATTCACAATGATCGAGTATGGTTTTCAAAAGAAGAATAACTAATTCACAATGATCAAGTATGGTTTTCAAAAGAAGAATAACTAACTAATGTGCAAATTTGGGTTTGAAAAGAAATCTATTTAAGTCCCAAGGATGAATAAGGTTTTCAATAGAAAACTAACAATTTCTAAAGTATCGTTTACAAGGAAACCTACCTAACACACAATGGTCAATGGTAGATTGTTTATTAAAGAAACCTAACGCATGATGATCATGTATGTGTTCATAAGTAAATGTGTCAAAAAAGATAACAAAACAAAAAAAATCAATTGGCATTAGTGTGTTTTCTGGGACAAAGAAGCCTACTAGACAATATTGTGATTTTTAATACTTTAAATAGAATTTATCCTTGAATGGAGCGATTTATAGAAATTCTACAATAACAAAATCGATAACAATCTGTAGGGCATTGGCTGGATGGGCTTCCCACAGACACAGAGTACATATCTGTCGTTCCCATTTGGAAAAAGGGGGGGGGGGGGGGGGCGGTGGAGGAATGGGTGAGATTTGTGGCACTCGGTGTGGGCGCCAGAGCTACGAGTACTTTAGTGAGTGCCCGGTATCTTAGTGTACCGTGCAATTGTGTTTGTAAATCTCTTCTTATGAAGTGTTCTAGTTGATTAGGCCTATTTGGAAGTATGACACAGATCATAAAGAGATTGGACGTTAACATTTCAAACATATATAAGTCACGTTTCAAGTACTGTTCTAAGCTAGCCTCTTTGGCGGTTTCTATGGAGGCCTACTGCGGCCATATTACTCTCGACTTCTCGCTCACGAGAAGTTGAAAGGAAAAAGCCAGGAAAAAGCGAGAAAGCGAGCCTTTTTCCTATGTTAGTTTTTAATCTCGCTTTCTCGAAGTTTTCCTCGCCTTTTTTCTCCCCTTTTTCCTCACTTTCTCGAGGGCGAGAAGTCGAGTTTCCTTGCGTTTTTTATTTACAAATTATCCATTGGCGGTCGTGGCTTGATGAAATAAATACAAAAGCGCGAGTGCGAGCAACATTAATTAACCTGTTCTCTTATATTTTATGAAAAAATCATAGCAAGGATGTATGATAAGTCCTCTATTATTCACTTTGTTCTTAAATGAATTACTGGAAATGTTAGCCAATGGAAGTAGTATGTATGTTTATGTTAATGGAAGTGTTAGTAATATTACCTCTCTCCTATACGCAGATGATAAAGCCTCAGTAGCCGATAGAGTTGGTCGACTCCAAAAGCAGATAGATATTATAGGGGAATTTTGTTATGGATATGGTATGAAGGTCAATATGTCTAAAACCAAAGTTATTGTATCCCAAAGCATGTTATAATATGTTGTACACACTACATTTAGCAGGTAGGGAAACCTGGGCAACACAAATCAAGAACTTAGATAACATGGGTTTAAGTTTTGCTTGGATTAATCAAGGGGTAGATAACCCTTCTAATTTCTTATGTAATGTTAAATTAAGGTTGTGTGATATATGGAAACAAACCTGGTATGAAAATATTATGTCTAATGAAAAACTCTACTTCTATAGAATGAATAAATATTTCTTAAACATGGAAGATTATCTTTGTAATATGCCTTGCATTAAACCGAGACGTGTTTTAAGTAGATTTAGGTAAAATTAGCAATTGAAGTAGGCAGATGGAAAGGAATACCTATTAGGGCTGAAAGGAGATTATTTATTTATTTACTGTGTTTGTAAGTCTAACTTCGACCATGTGTATGTCTATATATGTTTTCACGTATGTATTATGTAATGTGGGCTGTAGGCCGTCTACTGTAATAATAAAATCAGTTTTGCCTAGTCACATTGTTTACTGTTCTTGAAATAATTTATGTTTATATATATGAGAGAAAATAGTCTATTTTTTCATCGATACGTCCAATCGTTATCTATGGCCTACAACAGTTCATTTCTCAATTTCCATTAGAAATTTCGCCGAAAAACTCATAAACATGTTCTAAATGAGATTAAAAGTGATATTCATGGTTTTTACATTAACTATTTCAACTAATTTAGTAAATCAAATTGATTTCTCGTTGGAAAACAAACGAATGGTTCATTTCGCGATCTTAGTTTTCGATTAGCCATTTGACAGTACATTTAACGATTTGAAATACTGACTATAGAAAACATTTGTGGGTTAGCTTTAGCGTAACCAGTTTGCAAATTTGTAATAGACGAAGGGTAGAGCTTGCCCACTTTCCGACCGAGGTTATTGGGATTGTTAAGAGGTTTTCGTGTTACCTGTATCGGGAACACGAAAAGTATAGATTTGCATCATTCCAATTTTCAGATATATTTTGATCTTATTCCACTAAAACTGCGATTTAGAAAATATCACACAGTTCTTTCGATATTTTTAGCAGCTTTTGCGACAGTAACGTCATATTCGGTTCAACATTTTTATAATTGCAGGAACAACAGACATCTGACGGAAAATTTGAATGGTGCAAAGCCTTGAATTATTCCTGATACAGAAGAAAGCTAGAAAACCTGTATAATTTTCGATTGTCAAGTATGCTGAAAGTTTTATATTAACGAATGATTTTGACAGGCGACTCAAACTAGCTGCAGTAAATTAATATAAAATCATCTTTCCCATCATCAAAGTTTGAAGTTGAAGAGGTAGGTCACAGTCTATTTTGAGCTAATGGTCTCAGAATCTGCACGAAGATAACTGCATAATCTATTATTAATCGTTTTCTTTAAAACAATACTTTATACATACTTCATGATCGGGACACTCCAAATGGTTTGTACCCCCAACCCCCAACCCCCAACCCCCAAAATTTACAAATTTTTTCTATACGTTTTTAACCCAAAATATTTTCAGTAACGCACCGAATTCATTCTGATATTGCAAAATTTTCTTGGAAACCCTCTTAAACCCTCCTTGGGAGGCTTGCATGCATGGCGCTTCCACAAAGCTTTTGTATTTTGAATCTCCCCTTGACAATTGTCCCTTATTAAGTCAGTCTGCCCCATAATTGCACCCAAGTCACGGCAGACTGGCGCTGCCATTGGTCCTTATTGGTTATTTTGTGTTTGGCTATTAATATAGGAAGGGCAATCACTTAAAGCTTTGAAAAGGTTTAATGTACAAATATGCTCTTCTTGGGTTTAACGAACAGATGCATACCTCGAAAATTTTAGTTATTACGATAAACACATTTTAAAATACTAAATAATATTTATTTCTTTTTAGTACAAAAATTGATCCTCGGCTCCACAGGTTACCATAAACATCCTGTATCCTTAATTATTTATTTCCTGGATAAAATCCGTTAACCTTTGTCAAACTCTAGGCTCTATTATTAAATTAGCGTTTACATGTCTTTACATGTCTGTACTCCGTTTCAAAAGAACTCACAAGTTTAGTACTTGGTCAATGTTTTTCGTGTTGAATGATTATTGATAAGTGTTTGGTAAACATTATTTGAGCCCACATCATTAAGAACAAAATAGTTTTCCTAGTTCATATAGTTCCAAAGAAATAGTCACAATAGAAACTTACATTTTGTGTGTATAAGGATGTACACAATGTGCTAATTTACTTAAGCTTCCAGAGCGGCGAAATTTGCTTCATAATAGTTTATTTATTTCAAAGATTGTCTGCAACCTTATTAAAGTCAAGACTAAACTTTCAACAACGTCCGACTTTAATTTAGCTGAAAAGGTCCATATAGATTTGGCCGATGCTAGATATGTATTATTATGTATTACCACCGAATAATTCGAAGAAAAATTATGCTGATAACGGTACAGAATTATATAAGTCTTTACGTTCAGGTTCATTTTGGATGTCGCAAAATATAGTCAAGAAAAATGTTATAATAAGATTAAAACATGCCAAAACTAATAATGAGTTACATGGCACTATATTCATAGAGCGAAAAAGTTCTTACCTTTCAACACAAACAGCAACTAATGTTAGTACTGATGAATATAATCCACAGACAAGCAGCGTTCTCTGTAATTTACACATGACCAAACCTAATAACCATCCCTTATTTAGCATGAATAAAACTATCTCTGGAACACCGAATAACATGATAATAGAATCTGCTAGAGCTAAATTCAAAATTAACATGTTCGTCACTGATTTCCGCATTTTTCTATCAGAGAGAATGATATAAATCACCATTAGATTACCGATTATTCCTACAAAACCCACGATACAAAACAATGTTGAGAAAACAACGATATACACCGTGGAGACCATTGGACCAGGTATTTCACTAGATGTGATATTCGTTTCTATTGTTACATTGAAATTTAAATAGGAAGCTAATACTTGGCCGTGATTGTTTTCTGCCACCATGACGAGGCTAAGAGTCTCAAGACAATTAGCCAATTAAAACTTATCTGTCACGTTCTTGAGTTATAAAGAAAATATGTACTTCTATGAAATTATTATCACAAAACCGAATTCACTGCTTGAAGAAATTAATTAAGGACTACGATGGTAAGATTTTAAAAAGTCGTATGATACTCGCAACAATAAAATATAACATAACACTTCAAACACAGATATCAAGTGAGAGTTTTACACCAGTATCCTGTAGTAAATGACAAGTTTAGTTTTTCTCATTCTCCTAGTATCATGTGATCTCCTTCCAATCCAATAATCTATTTACTCCTTCACATTATTCCATCTTCTCTGAAAGACAAGATTACAGTATTATAGTAATGTGTATTTTCACTGAACATAAGTAGCCATAAACCACATAAGTTTGATAGTAGACAGCAGGACAGGCTTTCAATAGCTTCCACTGGAATGATTCTAATAACCACAGCCGTTTTATTTGATAACAAATCGACTACATTTAAAACTGTTGAGTCGATATAAATGTCTACATAGTAATAGATGTACAAGTGACCAAATAAAATCTGAAATGGGTTGTCGCTTGCAGTTTTACACTAACAAACATATTTGTTTAGGATGCATGTGCCATCGGAAGAAAATAAAGAACAAAGACAGAGACGGTCAACACCATGTTGTGTGTACAGAATGACGCGCGTTTGAAAGTTAAAATGACGACTCGTGTTTTCTTGATACTCCACCATTCACAAGTTCGCAAGTTCACTGATTTCGTTAGTCTAGTCGTTCAAGACTCTTCTTAACGTTAATAGACCATCTTTATTGCATTGGTGGCGTCGTTCAGAAGGGGCAATGAAACAAGCCCCGTCTTTTATACATTGTATGTAGTTGAAAATTGAAAAGAGGAAGCTTATGCTCATGTTCTGACAAAACGTTTCACATGTGCGTCTTCAATAGCTCTATTTTATTTCATTATAGACCTAACACTCCCGGTCATTTCATCGACTCACCACAAATACTAATTTGATTGGAAACATGTGAAATTACTGACATAAATATACATGGTGTATTAGTTAGCCATTAATCGATTAAGAGGTGTCATGTGTGACAACCGAGGTGACAGTAAAATGAATGTGTACAGTCAGCAGAGTAATTTAATTACTGAGGAGTCAATCACGCGTTTTCATATTTCCACTTTGATACTAGCACGTATATCGGACGACCCTTGCCGCCATTCTCCTGCTTGTAAACGTAAAAATTGGCCCAGAACATGTTAATCGAAATGGAATTAAAAATGTCTTTAGACAAGCGCCGTAACTATAAACCCAATAAAATGATGTGTACCTAGCCCTAATTAGAAACGCGCCTTGAGAATGCAATATCGTCGCATATGTCGCAAGTTGATAGCTATAGTTGTAGAAGTTGTATTTTTTCCATTTTCAGTCGCTGTCAGATCGCAGTACGGTGTTGGTGTCCGTTATAAAAATGCTTATTGAATGTTTTTAGTCCTGAGATTTTAGGATTATATAAAGACTTCATTAAAAAGAAATTCAAAACATCATACGTCAAACCAACAAGGAAATATATCTTCCTTTATTATGTAAAACCTTAGAGACGATGATGGCCTTACAAAACACTTAATACAGCATATAACATCAGAATTATAGTTATTTAGATTAATTATATCTTGGACCATATCGTAGTTGTTACTTTCCTTCACAATAAAAGCTACTCGCACTGCTCAATTTTCAGGAAACGACACCGATCTTAAAGTCTTTTCACACGATAGTTGTGTATGGTTGCGAATAATGGAAATGGTCATGAGTTCCAAACGCAACTCACAACTCGGTTGCATGAGAGCTGCATTAGAGACTTATGACCGCTATTCAAATTCGCAACCATACGTATCTGATGATCGTTATCTCTGAGGAAATGAGGTTAAATTTGCAAGATGGATAGTATGATCATTCTCTAAGACAACTATTCCAGTGGGTTTAGAATAAGGTTTATTTCCTTTCAATTACTTTAGTCCGTATGATACTGATACTGTTTTATGTTGTAATCTTCTGCTTTGCCTTAAGTTTGATCAAGGCTCATCTTACCTTGTGTACCAAGATCCAAATTTTATCGAGGCTGTTTCAGTCTAGCAAAGTGCACAAAGTGTATAAATATTTTAATCCCATTAGAGCAATATAACTTCAATCTCAAAGTTTGAATCAAGAATTAAATTTTATGAAATTAAAGTCAATTGCAGTGTAATTTGTTTGTAATATAGATAAACGAAAGGAAATTACTCCCACAGTACCCAGTCATAAGCCTTATGTGCCTCAAATTCCGTGTATTAAATTTTTAAAATCTTAATGATGATGGAACATTTTTATCAAACGTTGCGACACATCTAGCAATTTATTTCATTTAAAATATAATTTAGGAACTGAGGTGTCTCGTCAGTTTAGATGCTTGTTCGGGAATCATTCGGGACAGAAGTCTACTTCAATTTTTCAAATCCCTCAACTCACTTAAGTGAAGTAGGTCATTGGGAAAAGCATGGATAAAGCGTCTTTCGATTGGTTCTGAGGATCCGTTTGCTAAAGGTCCCGTACCAGATTCGAATATTTCTGTTCTGGCAATATTTTCTCCTAAATAACATTGCGTTTTCCGTCTACACTAGCCCAATAGGGAGCCAGCAAGAATGGAGAGAATTGGCTGTTTGGTTTGTGCTTAAAGGTTAAAAGCCGGAAAGCGTTGGAGAATTGTTCCGTATTTTAACAAACCTATGACAATGCAATACAGTGGAAATAGAACTCGTTCTCATTGGCAGCAGAAAGCTTAACGATGTCTAGTCATTTGTAAGGACGCAGATTTTAATAACACTTTTAATATAGCTTCAATTAGAAGAATTCGACATGACAGATTAAAACTATACGGAAATAATTTCGAACAAAAAAGTTATTAAAAGACAACTAACTCCCATGGACAAGATAATGAAAATGTGCCATTCAATAGCCATGATGATAAGATCGTTACGTTTATAGAAACATTGAATGAAATGCCGTGAAATCAATCTGTTCATTGAAAAAGTTAAAAGGCATTATGTAAAAGCCCTAGAGAAATCAAATGTTATCTATACTTATATGAGAACGACGATTCATCATCGAATCCAGACTAGTCCGTTTGTTCAATGCCATGAATATCATCAATCAGAAAATAAAGAATGAGCTCAGACGTGATGTGATTGGAGAACATGATATAATAAATAGATGAGCATGTGATAGGGGAACACGGTGTGATGGGTGAGCAACATCTGATAGGGGGACACAGTGCCATGGGTGAGCACTATGTGATGGGGGGACACGATGTGATAGAAGAGCGCCATGTGATAGGGATACACGGAGTGATTGGAGAACAAGACATAATTAATAGATGAGCATCTGATAGGGGGACACGGTGTGATGGATGAGCACAATCTGATAGGGGGACACGGTTTGATGGGTGAGCACCATGTGATAGGGGAACACGGTGTGGTGGTGAGCACCATGTGATAGGGGGACACGGTGTGATGGGTGAGCACCAGGTGAGGGGGGAACACGGTGTAATGGGTGAGAACCAGGTGAGAGGGGACAGGGTGTGATGGGTGAACACCATCTGATAGGGGAAGACAATGTGATAGGAGCACATGATGTACATGTAATGAATGAGCATCATGTGTTAGCGGAACATGATGTGATAAGATAACATGATGTAATTAATAGATCAGCACCATGTGATAGGGAAACATGATATAATTGGTGAGCATCATTTGTTAGGGAACATGATGGGATAGGAGAACATAATGTAATAATAATGAATTGATGAGCATCATATGTTAGGGTAACATGAAGTGATAGGCGAACATGATGTAATAAATAGATGAGCACCATGTGATAGGGAAACACGATGTGATAGGTGATCACGACGTCAGAGAGTTTAGCCTTTTGAAATCGGTCGCCATTTGTCTGTTTCGGAATAAAATGAAATGGGTAAGCATCATGTGAAAGGTGAACACCATATACTAGTTCTTGCAAGTTCTAAACATCTTGAATGAGTTTTGATAACCTATCACTATCAATTGTCAAAAGAATGATAATTTAAACAGGTTTTGCTCTAAGTCAAAATAGAAGGCGAAAGAAAGACGACTATTAATTTTCTCAATCTGGTATTGCGTTTAGTCGAACGTCATTTGTTTATGTCGGAACATAATGTCGCAATAATGTCCAATCCTTAGTATGAAGGACCTCCTACGCCTAAGGAATGAGAAAACTTTTCAAGTCGATCATAGAACAATATGAAACATGATATTTATAATGATATTTATTGAGATATATTCGTATCATTAGATATGTTGTGAGACCGATGTTATAGGCCTCGTTTGCCAATTCCGTAATAAATATAATTTTTAGAAGACACAAATATTTTACTGCTCCTTCGTCTGCAAGAGTTACGTTCCGCCAAAGGACATTGCTAGCATTAATTGCATTGTGGGTAATTAACGCACTTCCATCAGCTTACTTAATTTTGAATTGGCCAACAACGTTTAAATTTTCTGGATCAAGGAATGTTCTTACCATTGTTATTCGATGCCCACGCGAGGAAACGAATAATACAACGACCTAGATATAAATAACCTCCGGATATTGTGTTTCAGACATAAAAATCCTTTACAATAAAACCCCAATCAATTCAGCTAAAGGATTTATACAATGCTCTAAAAAATTATCTTCTTCAATTTGCCTTATCTAAGTTTAACTTCAATGAAATTAGAATCCAAATGACTATACTATCGGTCTGTCTTAAAGCTACAGTAACTTTCTAAATTAGATCAACGTCACATTCAAAACCGGATGTGATGTGTTACCATTCAGAGGCTAATTGCTTTGACCGTCTGTCTGAATGTGGAGACGTGTTTGTAATACATACACATGTTGTCAATAATATTGAAAAGACAAATTTTCACCTTCTAGGCGATTACCGAGTTTATATAGTAGTTACTAAATAACACACGATGAACACTAACTATAACTGCCATAGTACTGAATTTATTTCAATCATAATCCGGTTTATAACTAAAGGGATGAAAAAATACATTTTATGACAAATAATTAGTAATAATTCATGGAAAAAGTTTAGTTAATGTACTTAGTACCAGCCACGAAGATGAATGTAGACTCAGCAATTAGTTCTGGTATAAGGGGAATCAAGGTTGACAGGAATAATTTGTTTGATAAAAAGATCTTCTGAGAGTGGAAGAAGCTAACAGCTGTCGTATTCATCATTAAATTAGAACGTGGACTTGATACTAATTATTTCTCCCGAGACATAAGCATTACCATAGATCTTCTTATACAAATTTATTAGTTTACAGGAACACAAGATACTCGTTTCATCTTTTTGGAACGGACTGAAGGTGAAAAATCATGATATATTTTATACTTCGTATGGTTTTTACATGGAAAATAACACATTTAAGAACAATACGTAATTTCTTTTCTTAATTTCCCTTTTTTCTGTTATCAAATTTAGATAAATGGTACTATGTAAAAACTATATATAAGCCATACCGAACAAAAACATAATGCTTATTTGAATCTGCCTCACTGAGCGAAAATTCAGATATACACAAATGTAAGTACAAGTACATTAATTGATAAATCATAGTCCTTATTAATATTACTAATAAACTGGCGAGTATGTTACCTTAAACAAGTCCGGCAATAGTCTGCAGGGCGTCACGTTGCAAGTTTTCCAGTTGATACTTTTTAAAGTGCATTTAGCAAGGAGATAGGCCCGTAGTTCGAGAATAAGAAGATGTGCCCTTTCTTGTTGGTAGGGACGACGTTGGCATGTTTCCATTCGTTCGGGTAAATAGATGAACAATGTAGGACATTAAACAATCTCGAGAGGGGCCCTGCTAGACATCTATAGCAAAGTTCCATATGGATATTGTTATCAAGCTATACAGGACGTATATACCAATTTTTATGACTATATGTCTTAGTCCTTCAGTTCCCATAAATTTTTATACGCCCACATGAGATGGAGGGGTATATTTCTGTAACTCATGTCTGTCGGTCGGTCGGTCAGTCCGTCCACAATTGCTCGTAAACACTCTACAAGACACAATTCTTGACGGATTTTGACAAAACTTGGTCTGAGTGTTCGTATTCACCCAAGGATGAATCCTATTGAAAATGAGAAGAATCGAAAAATATTTAGTATGATTTATTGCCTTAGTTCTTGAAAATACGTTCAATTTTTAGCTCGTAAACACTTTATAAAGCACAATTCTTGACAGATTTAGACAAAACTTGGTGCGAGTGGTTGTTATCAGCCAAGGATGAACCTTATTGAAAATCAGACGAATCGAAAAATATTTAGTATTTTTTGTTCTTAGAAACTTGTTCAATTTCTAGCTTAAACACTCTAGAAGGCACAGTTCTTATCGGATTTTAGCAAAACTTGGTTTTATTATTCAGTATCGCCCTAAAAAGTTCAAAAGAAGTGTATGATTGAAGGTTGACTATTTCATAGTGGTGATTGTTACTATACTGCCAAATATTTTAATTGAAAATCAAAGCTGCCATTTGGCGTATATTAACTTGTCTGACAAGCTATCTTAATCCTAATGATAAACTTTCTTTTCACGAGTATAATATTTAATTATGATTCAAATGGACGGATGCCATTTTTGGGAGATGATTTGACAATATGCAAATAGTTTTCTGAAGTACTAGAAATGTAAGAAAATCGCATACTTCCTTCACATATATCTCAAACTAGAAATTGTACTCAATTTTTCTACAATGTCGTTTCTATATATCAAATTTTAACATTCAAACGAGGACAATTCTGGACACACAAGGATTTGAAGGCTCAATTTTGGACGGTATGCCTTAGCTAAAAAAAAGTCCCGTTTCTGAGACTAAGGTTAGATTGGCTAAAATAATGCGCATCTGTCCCTTTATTGTATTATTACTGTTTATCACAGCAACAGCTTACAACATATTCTTCTAAAATTTGAGGGCCAATCTATTCATACATATTATGATTTTCCTTGAATTTTTTAGGAATACTACCTCTTAGAATGGACATAAAATTTAAAATCTGAAACTCGGTCAACAAGTGCATATATTCATCAGTTGGATTTGTCTGGTGCCATGACTAAAGAAAATAATCTCTATATAGGACGATATAATCCATGTAACTAAAAAAAATATTGAAAGATGCTTCTAAGTTTGTTTCAAAATTACTTAGTTTAATGAATTATAACTTAGTTTTATGATTTATTGGATCATAGAGGGATTCTTAGGACACCAGGTAAGTCCACTAATGAACAGAGACTCGTTTGAGCCAGGTGAAAAATTTCAATTTTTGACCACCCTAAGAGGTAGTAACTGGAAACTCCTGCACTTCTGATTCAGCACTCGGCCTATTGCCAACATACTTGGATTTAATAATAATATGAACAAAATTAAATAACGTAACGTAAACAGCCAATCTTAAGTTATCATGAAATTTATTAGCCAGAATAACTTATGTTTGTATATTTCGAGTCCTAATGTGGTACAGTATGCCATTCTTGCTTAGTCTTGATAAAATTGACAAATGCAGACATCGTGAGAAAAAAATTCTCATTTACGTTAGAAAAAAACGAAGGTGATCTCTTTTTGTGAAAAAAAAAAATCAAATTTCACTGCAGTATAAAGTAACATACCATTTCATCATAGAGGCAAGAAACAAGTTTCATCCTTGTATTTCAAAAAAGTTGTTCCTGAATGTTGCATGTTGCATTTTTAATGGAATACTGGCCTAATTGACTTTCAACGTTCATAATGTTTAAAGTTGAGATGTAATAGTTTATAATGTGCTTGCTGTGTCTAAAAATTGGACATGACCTGAGAAATATTTTTTACGGCAATAAGAAAACAAACATTGTTAATGGATTACAGCCAATCGTAAGTTAAGTGGTCATCAAATTTATTCGCCAGAAAAACTTATGTTTGTGTAACGGTTTTACGGTTTTGATTTATTAAAACCTTGACATTAACTGACAATAATAAACGCAATAAATATAACTAGCAGGTGTTTAATGATGCTGTTCAAACTGGTCAAAGTAGATTTACAAAAACACTAGTCTTTTTGCAGGTCCAATACCATTGTAGACATTAGTAATTTAGACAAATGAACTCTCATTATTAGTAGAAAATAGTAGAAGCAAATTTTCATTGTATCCCGCATCGAACACCGTGCCTCGTCCTTTCGTGGCTTTATCCCCGAACTTTGGTCATTGGTCTCGTTACGGTAATTAAAAATATCCAACTCGAATGATACTGTTGTTAATTGGTCTAATCAAACGGCACATTCCGAACTTTAAAGTCACCCTTCTTTCGAAAATACTCGAATCCTTTTAAATAAAGTATTGGTGATTATTTAAAACGCACTTTTTGTTCTTTTTTTATAATCGGACTTCTGCCTTCGCCCGATCTCTCAACCCCTTGAAATATTCCTGCACCCCTATTTTGCTATTTCACCAGATACATCAATCTTTGCAATAAGCAAAGGTGTCCCGAAACGAGAAGAATATACGTCTGATTT